AATTTTGTGTTAAAGCAGTAGTCACTCCTAACTTACTAGTGCATAAATATGATCCACTTATGATCCAGGTAGTATATCGTGATTATTTTCTTATATAACTTCTGGGTTTTTGTAGAGTTAATAATAATTGCCCAGTTTAAAAAAAAAACCAAAAAACTGTTTAGTGTATGTACTTAAGTTTTTTTTTCCTAATTCTTCCATTGGTTTTTATCTGCCATTCAGTATATTTACCCCTGGTCAGGTATATCAGTTAATCCATTAGTTTCATATTTTTCCTGGAGCCCACTCCCCACTGAGTCCTCTGACCTTTTGCCCCAATCTGGACTGGTCACTTTCTAGGTATTTGTGCATTGCCATCTTGAGACCTCCCTTGGCTGTTTTCAGTGTTGGGTCCCTTATTTTTATAGTCTCCTATCTTCTATGTTCTTGCTTTCATGGAATACATCCCACCAGGAACTTCATGAGAATTTTGTTAGTTTTTATGTGTCTGTAAATGTCTTTATTCTAACCCCATCCTTGATTTTTATACTTACATACGTGGCTGGGTTTTAAACTGTCTTTCATCAGACTTCTGAGCTGTTATGCCATTTCATTTTAGTTCCTTCAGTTGATGTTGAGAAGTCTAGGACTCTTCTGATTTTTCCTTAAATGTGACATCTTTTTCTCTCTGGAAACATTTAGGATGTTTTCTTTACTCCCAGTGTTGAGAAATGTCATAATGTGGTTGGCCCTTTCAACCTAGAGACTTGTGTCTTTAAAGTCTGGGAAATTAATCTTGTATTATGTAGTACTATTGCTTCATCATTTAGTTTTCTGTTCTCTTTTTCTGAAACTCCAATTAATCAAGTATTGGATCTTAAATTCTTTTTGAAATGTTATTTTGATATACTCTTTCTTCTTTCTTCCCTCCCTCCCGTCCTCCCTTCCTTCCTTTCTCTCTCTCTTTTTACTTTTTAGCATGGCATCCTGGTCTTTCTTTTTTCCCCTAACTTTATCTCTTTGAGGACATAAATGAGGTTTTTTTGTTTTATTATCTCAATGATTCTTTATTAAGCGCTATGTACAGGCAGTTGTCTAAGCACTTGGACTATACATGGGACAAGATAAACAACAACAACAGAATAATAGGACAAGCCATCCTGACTGTGGTAGATTGCTGGTTTCCTACCCTAATACCCCTCACACCCCTTTCCTTAGAAAGAGACCTCTAAGCTTTAGCTGAACACAAAACTGTCCAAAAAATAAAGACTACATTCCCCAGCTAGTGTTCTGGGAAGTGAGCTGGGGTTCCCCTCACTTAATTCAGCAAACTTTCTTTAACTCCCTGATTTCAGCCTAAGGCCTAGACTTTACTCCGAGTTGAGTCTGTGTCCTCAAGTCTGGAGCTGCCCTGATTTTCCTTCGCATGCCCAACAAAGCCCCCGCTCTCCTGCCCTGCGTGCTTCTCCATCCTCCCCTTGCACTGTCACCCTCCCACACCCCTGCACCTGCTGCAGGGCCACACAGAACTTCTCAGAGTTCTTCCACCTTGTGGGGCTTCCACTTTCCCCTAGGTGATTTCTGCTGATCCTTCAGGCTGCAACCCTTAGGTTATAAATGCCTGCTAATACCTGTACCCACAGCTCCACGCTAGGCGTGGCCTCTGCTCCCGTCACCCCCTCTGTCACCCTGTGTCATAGCACTCGTCACACTGTGGAGCGCATGTGGCTGCCGGTCTGTACGCACCCCCGGACTGTGCAGAAAGAGTCCACGCTGCCAACACGCCTGGCATCAGAGAGCATCAGTAGGCTCTCTAATCTCTGAATGAATGAATGACAACTTATTTGAGCTCCGAACATTTTTGGTGTGACTTTTGGATAATTATTCTTGACTTTTTTCTTTTTTATCAGTAAGTTAAGGTTTGTGGTGTTTTAAGGGAATTGATAATATGTATCAATGAACTCAAAGGAAACTTTTGATTTTTTTTTTTTAAGTTTTTGCAGTCTCTGTTCTAACCTCTGCCATCAGTAAAAGAGGGTTACTGTGCCTAAGGGGACACTTGAAGTATGGCAGTGATGCATCAGAGGCATTAATGAACTTGAAGATTGAGAGATAAGTGGAGTCATCCAATGCTGGAAAAAGGGAAACTTGACACACTCATTCTCGTGGGTCGTTGTTGCTGCAGCAGGGAGCGCTGATGGCTTAGGCTGTCGGCAAGGGCCGTGTGTGCCCTTCAGGTCAGCACTTGCCATTACATCATGAGGAGAAGCCAAGAGCAAGGATGGTGCAGCTTGTGCTAAAAGCACCTCTTACGTGGCAGTCATCCAGCTCAGATTCTGATTATTACTGTTGTTTTCTTTTCGGAGTCCTTGCAGTTATATATCTGGAATTTGGGTGTGGAAGGCCTAGTTACCACAGCTACTTCAGAGGGGTCTAGATATACTTTCCAGGTAGCACTTTGTGACTTGCTTCTGGGATGGCCCAAAGGTTCCTTGCCCAGAGTGGATGGGGCAGGGGGTAGGGAGAGGGGAGAGGGTGAAGAGGAATGACAGAACAAGAGTGAAAGAGAAACTGGGTGTTAGAAAGTAAGCGCTGAGTGATCTTATTAACCAGGCAGTTTTCCTGCTCTGCCCCCCTTACCTCTAGGGTCATCCCTCGGTATCTGTGGGGCATTGGTTCCAGGAAACACCCCCATACCAAAATCTGAGGATACTGAAGTCCCTTATATAAAATGGCATAGTATTTGCATGTAACCTACCCACATGCTCCCGTACACTTTAAATCACCTCCAGATTGCTTATAATACCTAATAAGGTAAAGGCTGTATAGTTGTCAGCACGGGGCAAATTCAAGTTTTTCTTTTTGGAACTTTCTGGAAAGTATTTTTAAATATTTTTGATCCGCAGCTGGTTTAATCCGCAGATGTGGAACCCGTGGATACAAAGAATCAACTGTATTGCGTTTTTTATCAATTGCGCGGTCACAGAGAGCACTGCTGAATCTAGTGTGAGGTGCAGGGAGGAAGGGTCTGGGCAGAGTTAAGAGTGGAGCTGGTAATAAAACTTTCATCTCCTATAAATCAGTGGAAATCATCAGCCATTTGCCAGCAAAATTTCCCATTCCTGAGTGAACAGTGGCGTCAAATGGAAAAAGCAGTGGTTCTGCAGGGTTAGTACAGAGGTTTAGGCTAGGCCTTGTGTAACAAAGACAAAACATGTAACAGGAGATGAACCAGTTTCCTGGGGCTGCCATAGCAAATGACCACAAACTGGGGGGCTGAAAACAACAGAAATTTATTCTCTCACCGTTCTGGAAGCTACAAGTCCGAAATCAAGGTGTCAACAGGACTGAGCTCTCTCTGAAGGCCCCAGGGAGGATCCTCCCTGGCCTCTTCCTATCTTCTGGTAGTTGTGGCCATCCTTGGCATTTCCTAGCCTTTAGACACATCACTTCAATCTCTATCACGTGGCGTTCTGTTCTGGTATCTTTCTTACAAGGACACCGGTCATGTTGGATTTAGGGTTACCCTACTCCAGTATGCCCTCATCTTGACTAATTGCATCTGCAAAGACCCTATTTCCAAATAAGGTCACATTCTGAGGTTCTGGAAAGGGCATAAATTTGGAGGACACTATTCAACCCAGTACAGTAGCTTAAATAAGAGTGTTTTTGTCTTTCACAGAAACGTTCCAAGAGAAGCAGTTTGAGGTGGCCAGGTGACAGTAAGAGGAACCCAGGTGCTGCCTATCTAATTGCCCTACCATGTTTAGCACGTGCCTTCCACTTCATGGTCTGTGAAGGCTGCTTAAGTTCCAGCCATCACATCTGCTTTCCATCTACAAGAAGGAGAAAGAGGGGTGGAAGAAGAGTTTACGGAGGCATGTGCCAGCTGTACTTTGATAACACAATCCAGTATTTCTGTTCACTTTGCATTGGATGGAACTTGGTCAGGTGCACAGCCAGCTGAAAAGGAGGCTGGGGACGTTGCCTTTTTTCAGACAGCTTTGTGTCCTGCTAAACCTTGCAAGTTCTCTTTCTGAGAAGAAGAGGGTGAATGGGTATTAGGTAGGCAACCAGCAATCTTCCACAGTCAGGGTGGCTTGTCTTATTTCCCCAGGACATGTATAGAAAGTCGTTTCTTAAATGAATCTCCGAAAGTTACTGTGCTTGTTTAATGATTTTCTAAATGTCTTGATAATGTATTCTCTTAAAAAGTGATCTATGTTGTAGGAACCAGAGACGTCTGAAGAACTCCAAAACTGACTTTGTTTTTAATGAGATGCAGGCTGTTGCGTTAGCTTGGAAGCTCAAGGGAAGTGATGGTCACGTCTGCTGCTCTGCCAGCACGACTAGGTAGCTGAGCCCCAGCCTCCCGACCTTGCCCAGGCAGCCCTCATTCACAGAGAGCGGCGCCTTCCCACTCGCACCCGGGCGTCGTGGAGTCTCCTCCGCGCTGCTCTTTTTGCAGATGGTTCTCCTCCGTCTCCTTCCTAGAGGTGTTTCTAAGCCCCCAAAGGTATGAAAGGAGTTAGGGTTTCTTGCAGCAGTTTAGTAAGTCTGGGCGTTATCAGATAACGTAAGAGGGAAGACATGGCATTCGCTAAAAATAAAACCTTTGGTCCAAAGGAGGCTTGGCCAAGGACGGAGGCGGAGAATTTCTCACTTGTGCCGCCTCATGTGGCCCTGGTCCAGTGAGTCCCCATCTTCACGCTGACGCAGGCCTCTGACTCACTTTGCCTGTCTCTGTCAGTCTCTACCGGGTGTTCCCGCTGAGGGGGGCTTTCTGTCTGCGAAGATCGAAGATCGCGTGCCTCACGCTCCTTTCGTTGTCACTGCCCCGCCCCCGCCCCTAGCATATTTCAGTGGGCTTGTTGAGGACACGTAGGAGGGGCTTAGACACTTCTCAGCTGAGTCCACAGCTTGGGGGCGGGAGGGGGGCGGGAGCCGGGATGCGCAGGTGAGGACGATGCGCCAGGCAGTGGGCACCTGCCATCGTTAGGCTCCTCCCCCGAGTTCATCCGCGCCCTTCTTCGCCTTCTCGTGGGTTCCTGCTCTTGCAGCGGAATGCCCTCCCGAACAGCAGGGCTGGTGCAGGACGGCCTCCACCTGAGAGCTTCTGATCAAAGACTCCATGCTTCTTGAGAAGCCGAGAACTAACAATTTCACTTTAATAAGACTTCACCGCGGACAGTTGCTTATACAACTCATGGAGGCTGGTGTATGATTTCCTCATTTGCCGCTTCTCACCAGTTGTGTTATTTTCGTAACAATGACTGTGCGGGAATAAAAGCAAAGCTTTTCCCTCCAGGCGATTAGACAAATGCATATCTTCTGACAAAAATAAACCTTCCTCCTCGCGGGTCCTTTTAGGCTAACCCACACATCCCTCATTCGGGAGAGCTAGTCCCCTCCTACTAATGACAGCCCTTTTGGGCAGACCCAGAAGTTGTATCCAAAGACTGAAATACCACTGCCAGCTGGGTGCTGCCACCACTGTGCTGGTTGGTGGCCCTTATCAAGCTTACTCGTGTTGAACTGTTTCATCTTCCCAAGGCTTAGTGGGAAGAAGAGGCTGGAGTAAGATGTTCAACTTCTTTCTGAAACAAGTCAACTTGAAAGTATTGGGTGAGGCGGGGAAGAGTGATATAACTTGCTTTTTCCAGTGTTAAAAGATGCCATCTCTCTGTTTATCTACAAAGAAGAACCATTTAAGCCAAATTACGTAATTTATTTGTTTATTGGGGCAGGTTGAAAATGTATTCAGGGAAATCATATATTTTCATACCAGTTAGACACTGAAGAAGTATTTATGAAATGCTTACCATACTGTTAGGCACTAATATAAATAAAAACATATATCTATCAGATGTCCCAAAATCATGTTGAAAATGTGGAACAAATACGGTTCTAAAATATGTAAACCGTAATGTTAGCAAACAGATGAAGGTATAATTGGCCTGAAAATTGCATCCAAGGCATAGAAAAAAGAGATTATTTTTCCTTTTTCCAGCTCTTAGAGCCACATTAAAAAATCCCAAAGCATGAACCCTTTGCCGAAGCCACTGAAGGCTCTTATCCACACCAAAACTTCAGTGTTTACCTGGCTCATCAGTCTTCCTTGAAAGGCAGGTAGACTCCTCCTACCCAGCCAGAGGTGGATGAAAGCCTTGGTTCCACGTCTCATCTGTGTTTAGTTCTCAGTCCACCAGCCAGAGATGGGCCACTAGGCATCCTCGGTCAGACGGTAAAGTCGTCACACCGAATTTACCTATGAGACAGCATGTCGACTGTGAACTCCAAGCTAATCTTGGGAATCCGAAACAGTTCATTTTAGTAAGATGTTTTAAAAATCCTTGGTCCAGGACTTCCCTGGTGGCTCAGTGGTTAAGAATCCACCTGCCAATGCAGGGGACACAGGTTCGAGCCCTGGTCCGGGATGATTCCACATGCCGCGGAGCAACTAAGCCTGTGTGCCACAACTACCGAGCCTGTGCTCTAGAGCCTGTGAGCCACAACTACTGAAGCCCGTGTGCCACAACTACTGAAGCCCACATGCCTAGAGCCCGTGCTCTGCAGCAAGAGAAGCCACTGCAATAAGAAGCCCGCACACTGCAACAAAGCGTAGCCCCCTCTCACCACAAGTAGAGAAAGCCCGTGCACAGCAACGAAGACCCAATGCAGCCAAAAATAAATAAATAAACAAACAAACAAATGTATTTAAAAAAAAAAATCCTTGGTCCAAGATTGGTGCTTGTCTAAAACATTTGTTTTGAGTACGTTTCCAGGACTGGGATAGGAAGAACCTTGAATATCCCATGGAGAATGCTTCTCCCAACTGACGTTGAACAGGACTGAAAGGCCTCCAAATGCCCTCCTCTCCATATAGGAGCACTGTGGTCACATGTCATCCCCTAGCCCTCCTTTTCCCACCTGTCCTATTGTAGGAAACACATTTTCTGCTTCTCAGAAGCCAAGCTGTAAGTCTGTCTCATGAGATGAAAGTGGAACTATCTCAGCCCTTTCAGGGAAAGCTTTTGCTTTCTTGGTAAAAGGGAAAGATGAGCTGGTGGTTACCCTTTGTCCCAGTTCAAGTTTGAACCATGTGGCCCCGGTGCCTGGAGGTGCAACAGTGGCTGGACCATGGGCAACAAGCCTACTTGCCGTGGTCGGCAGAACAGAACCTGTAGATTCATCGCCAGCCCTGGACTTCTCACCTCTGGACTTCTTACACCTGAAAAAGGAGCCCTTTCTTGTTTAAGTCCCAGCAGACCCAGGTTTCTGTAACTTATGGGCAGACACATCCCTGACTGATACAGAATTAGGTATCTGAAAATGAGTGGCTCCCAGGATTATTTTTTAAATTTAATACGGAGCTTAGGAGGTGCTGTTTATTTCACTGCATTTTAACAAGTGTTTACTGAACGTTTTCTGCACGCCACGCATTGTGCAAGACCAACGACACAAAAGGAACAAGATGCATTTAGAGTCCAAGCCACATAGAAATATGAATCCATATTCAGCAAAGGTAGTTTTGTGATTGGCTGGCTCATCCTTGTAACAATTATTGTGCATCTACAGTGAACCAGACTCTTGGAGCTAAAGATACAGAGATGAATATCATGGCCCTAAGCTTTTAGGAGCACAGTCTTCCAAATATCCATCCTTCATCTACCCAATAAATGTTCGTTGAGAACCTACTGTGTACCAGGCAGGCTCAGAGCTCATGTGTTGAGGAGAAACATCAGTAAACAGGATTACAAAATCATTCTGCTTTTGAATAGGACCATAGGTGCCAGAAGTTGAATTCAGGAAGGAATGAAACAAGGGGAGGGGACCCAGATGGAGGCACTTTGGTGGGTCTGACCAGCATGAACGGTCAGGGCTCTCCCTGCGGGATGACCGGGTGCTCCAGTCCCACTTGGGCCACAAGCCCTCTCCCTCTTCCATGTTTTGCGTCTGGCCAGGCAGTTTCCGCTGGCCCACATCCTTCGCTTCAAAGCCCAATTTCCTCCAGGGTGTTGGCTGTGTAATCAGTGCCTGCATCTCCATCAGTCCACCCAGTGCCCTTGTTACCTCTCCTTTGCCCCCCAATCTGCCTTTCCGTCCCTAATTCAGAGACCTGTAGTGCCAGGGCTGGGAAGCCCCCTTTGAGGTCTTTCAGTCACTTTAGAGTAACTGAGGCCCAGAGAAGGGAAGAGGCTCATCCAAGGTCAGCAAATTAGCTGGTGGCAGCAGTTGGCACCAGAACCTAGGTCTCCTGATGCCTGGCCCTTCCTATAAATCTGTCTATGGTTGGTGAAGCCCAAGGGGACAAGCTGCTCTTCTGAGCCAGGCTTGAGCCTTCAGGAGCGCCCACCCCGCTCCTGGAGTCACAGCTCCTCACTTTGGGAACCGTTCTTCCCCAGCTCGGAAAGCTTGGTTCCTGTCCTAGCCGCCTGCACCTTCAGGACCTCCACGATGGAGGGGGAGTGGGGACACCAAAAACCCCTGCTGTCGCCATCAGCTGTGTCCCTGCACACAGGGGTGGGGGGCTGGTTCACCGTGAAATAAGGCGACCATCAGCAGGAAGAAGAGATGAGAGAGGGGCGGGTCCCGGCTGTGTCCAGGCGTCCTTGTGCCCGTTGTCCCTGTAGCAGGCTGTCATCCTGTCCTGTGGCTTGTCCTAAATAACCTCAGCATTCTTCCAGAAAACTGCCCTTTTGCCTACGCTCCTTTGAGTTAGATATCTGTCCTTCAGACCCAAGAGTCTGATGCCCTTGCCCCGTGGGACTGATTTTGGTGCCTTGCTTTTTCTTTAACCTTATGCAGTCTCATCCTTCTCTCCTTCCCTCTGCAGCCCTGTGCCTGAGGAAGCTCTGCAGAGCGGCTGGCAGAGACCCCAGACACAGCCCTGGATGCTTCTGGCACCTGACACCGTTTAGAAATTAATTCCCTGGCTAATTCTTGAAGCCCTTTTGAAGCAAGCAGCAAAGGCCTGGGAACAGCTTCAAAGCTCTTCTCAAATCCCGTTTAGAAACTTCCCAGCAGCAGATCTATAATTTAGCTTTCTTTTTAGTTTTAAACATTTTATTGCAAAAATAAATAACCCCCAACTCTGATCTGGAAACCATTATTACGTGTTATCTATAGGTAACTTCAGTGCCCTGGGACAGAACCCTTGACTCGCTGGTAATGACAATTGTTTCTTTATTAAGTTTCTTATAACCCTGGAAAAGTTTCTATGTAAGCAGAGGAATGTGAAGCAAATTAAACTCATACTTTTGAAAATTTGGGGTTAGTTTAGGTGTTCTGTATTTGGTATTTTAAGAACTTTTAATTTTAAGAGAAAGTGTCAAATTTGGATAACCAATGTAGGAAGCTTGTGACTCGAATTGAGTAATTGATGTAGACGTGTGTTAAGCTAAAAGGTGCAATGCAATTTTATTAAGATTGTAAGCAGTATGGGAACATTTAAGTGAACTCAAGATTCACCATATTCAGTTGGTCAAGACTTGGGAAGTGGGACTTCCCTGGTGGCGCAGTGGTTAAGAATCTGCTTGCCAATTCAGGGGACACGGGTTCGAGCCCTGGTCTGGGAAGATCCCACATGCTGTGGAGCAGCTAAGCCCGTGCACTACAACTACTGAAGCCTGCATGCTCTAGAGCCCGTGCTCCACAACAAAAGAAGCCACCGCAATGAGAAGCCCGCACACTGCAACGAAGAGTAGCCCCTGCTCACCGCAACTGGAGAAAGCCCGCACGCAGCAACGAAGACCCGACGCAGCCAAAAATAAGTAAATAAATAAATAAAATAAATAAAGAACTTGGGAAGACTTGTGAGCAAACTGAACTATTCTAAAGTTAATTTCATAAATGCAGGTTTAAATTGTTAAGGCAGTTTAAATAACTAAATTTCTAAATGGGACCAGTCATCCAAGTTTCCCTTAACAGTGACAGCTAAATTTTACTATATTTTATAAAATAAAGTTCTAAGTAGAATGATGCAGTTTTAAGCCTAAAAGCTTAAGGAAAACCTAAAATTTTGAATTTGAATAAAATGGATATTAAATAAAAATAGACATAATTCAAGCAGTTTTTTATATATGTAAAAGCCACTCAGTTACAGTAAAAGATGTTCGCCTTACATTAGAACTTTGATGTATCTTTTCTTTTAAGCAGTCGTTTGCTCCTTACATTCAGCCGACAACTGGTATTCTTTGTTGCCGAGATGGGGAATCAGAGGCAGAGGAAGGGAGAAGTGGCCTCGGCAGCAGAACCAGAGCCAGCGCTGGACTTGGTCACACATCCGCCACCCGCCTCCACGGCCTGACCCGTCCACTGTTTCGTTTGCCTCTTGAGTGAGTGTCCTTATTACAGGTGAAGTGAAACCTATGTCATAAAGCAAATTTACCCTTTTCCTCCAGAAGTGATCATGTGACTCATTGAAATCACAATGACTCTTCATTTCCCCCTTCAGAGGCAGCATCACATTCTTGGACCATAATGGGGTGGAAAGCCGCCACTTGGCCCAGGAGATTTAGCCTGATTTCTGGGAAAGAGGCAGCCTGGCTCCTCAGCCATGAATAGGTTATTAAGACAAAATACACTGAGATCAAATGGCCCCCGATTCCCGGCTAAGCTTACCCTCAGGACTGTGACATCCTGCCCGCAGGACAATGAGGGCCAGGAGAGAGCACAGCTCCCTGGAGAGAGGGTGGGGAGTGAGAACAGTGGCCTTGGTCGAGAGGCCTAGATTCGGAACTCTGTCCTTGTCTGGCCCAGCCACGGGGGCAAACCCCTCCCCCCCGCCCCGGGGCCAGCTTTGTCATCCGAGAAACGGGGTGAATGTTGGCCTCTGCATGAATCAAAAACTTGTCAGAGTGCAGTGAAAACACACGAAAGCCCTTTGTAACATTAAAAAAAAAGCCTGGTTGTACTGCCACAGGAGTGGCTTCCTAGGAGCAGACTGGTTACGCTCAGTCATTTAGGGCTCTGATGTTTTCAGTGGCTCTGTCCTCACCTCAAACCCATCCCTGGGCCCAGTGGGCTTCAAAGGCCGGAGTTAGACTCTGTGAACTGCCGGCCAAGGCCAACCACTGACTTTGGAGCCTCACTTCAGCTATTCTTTCCTTCTGAAGAAAGGGGTGACTGTCCCCGATGGAGCTGGTTGGCCGCGAGGCACATGTTCCCAACAGGCTCAGCTGTAACTGCTCTGTGCTTACGAAGTTGCAGGGACAGTTGAACAAGAAACAAGAAACACAAACAAGAAACGCTCTCCTCCCTTGGGGG